CGGGTTTCTTTTGTTTGCCTGGGTCAGTTTCCTGCATTTTTACAGAAGTGGGAGTCAGGAACCTCCTGTTCGGACATGCCTGAGTAGGTGCTGGAATAAGATAATAAGTCTATTTCAAGCAGCATTGCACCCCGGGTTGACGTCAGGTGCTGCCACGAAGACTGACTTATCGGAACTGGCGGGTGCTTAAAAAAGACGAGAGATTCACTCCTCCATCCAATGCTTAAAGACCTCAGAGTCTCTGTTTTGCCAAAGGTACAAGTACAGATTGGGCAAAACCTGGCTCAAAAACAGTAACTGGGAGAAGGACCTTGGAATCCTAGTGGACGATCCTTTAAACATGAGTCAGTAGTGTGCAGCGGCAGCCAAAAAAACTAATACAATACTTGGTTGTATAAACAGAGTCATAGAATCAGAATCATGTGAAGTATTAGTACCGCTTTATAAAGCCTTAGTAAGGCCACAGCTGGAACACAGTACCCAGTTTTGGTCACGACATTACAAAAAAGATGTTGAGACTTTGGAAAAAAAAATGCAAAGGAGAGCAACTAAGATGATTAAGGGCCTGGAGACAAAAACCAGGATTAGTGAATTTATGAATAGCAGTTACAATATCTAAATGGTGGTTTCTGTTTATATTTTTGACTTAAATATAAAGGTTGCATGGACCTCAAGTCAGTTTATGTAGGGCAGGGGTAGTCAACCTTGGCTCTTTTATGACTCGTGGACTTCAACTCCCAGAATTCCTGAGCCAGCTGGCTCAGGAATTCTGGGAGTTGAAGTCCACGAGTCATAAAAGAGCCAAGGTTGACTACCCTTGATGTAGGGCCACGTGAACTTCCTACCAATACTGTGGTTGGCTTAGCAAAGGTGGTATATCATGTACCCTCACATGCTGCCTGTTAGTACCTTTTCTTTAGTTCAGTGGGTCTCACTTGTAAAATTCTGAAGTTATTAAGTAATGCTTTGGAAACAGCATTTATAGTCTCAGACACTTTTACCTAGAAATAAAAAGATCCACTGACTTTAATGAAATGTGTGCATAGACCAGTTTAGTGAAATGTGTGTTCAGACTTGCTAAATCCAAAGACTTGATCCAAGGACTCATCGACAATATTCATTCACTGGCATATCCTTTCTTCTCCTCTCTCAATTATCCATCTCACAAAGTCTAATTAAATGTCTTCTAATCATCTGAAAAAGTTTGCAAGAAGTTACACAATGGTGAAGTAGTTACTCTCTGTCTTGGACTAACTGAATATTGAAAAATTACATTTGCCCTAATAGAACTCCCAAGAGGACATAAAACTAATAAAAGAGAATATTGGTAGCTCAGGGTTGACTATGTAGTCTTTCATGGTTGTTTGCTTGCAGACATTTCATTATCCAGCTAGTTAACATCATCAGTGTTAGTGAGTGAAGGGTTTGCTCCCTGTTTATATATAGTAGCTAACCCTTCTGCAGTTGGTAAGGGATGTGGTTTTCTATTTATTAGTTTGTCTTCTGCATCGACGTGTCAAAGCACCTTTTTAGCATCCCAAGTATTAAATGGTAGATACCATGCTTAAAAGGTGTTTATAGTGAAATTTTCACATCAAGGACCTCATTTTTGTTTCCGGGGTTAATTATGCCGACTAAATGAATCCATGTGCATGAGAGTGTTGCCTTAATGGTTGAGTATCATAATAATTAGATACATTAAAAACATCTTGTGGGAATTGTTTACTCTTAATTGTGTTTTGGAAGATGGCAACAATTTCAGCATATCCTAGAATTTCCAATACCCCCATTCATTACTGGAGAATCTCGGTGGGGATCCTGAGTGTCCTTTATGACTCAAACAGTTCAGATTATTATTTTCTTTTTTGAGAAGGGTATAGTAAATTGGAAATGTTTGCCTCATGCCTCCATGCAACAGAAATACTGTTACGATAGAAATCAAGCGATAGATATTATTGTGTGATTAGCTCGTGCATTATTTAGTTATTTGTAAATAATACCGAGTTTGCATAACATTCTGGTAGCAATACTAGTGCCATGGATATCTTTTCCTTTTCTATCTTTGCTCTTTCCAACTCAGTGCTGTTCGTTTCTGATTGTCAGCTGAGCTGTTCCAAATCCAGGCATTCAGTTTTTCTTGGTCCTGTTCCTGGCTTTTTCCTTTTAGCTCAAATGCTGGGAACTCAACCTTGGAGTTTTCTGTCCCCAAAATATGTGCTTCTGCCATCAAGCTATATATTTATTTACTATATTTATATCCTGTGCCTTCAGCAGCGCAGTGTTCCTGAGACAGCCTACAATTAAAATGAAATTAAAAAACAAACACACAAAACTAAACAAAACAGCAATAAAAATCCAGCAGATGAAACGCGCCCCAGGGATGGGGGTGGGATGGGGTTCCGCTAGATATCCTCATTTGTGGTGCGCAGAAGTTGCTGGAATCGAGAACGAACAGAGAGCCAGTATTGCTTGAAGTTCTGAGAATTGCTGTTCCCATCATAGGTCAGCAATACAAGATGATGCATAAGCATTTTCTTTAGAGGAAGCAAAGTGCATTAATATTATCTCTTGAGCTTCTAAATCAGTGTTTCCCAACCTTGTAACTTTCAGCTGCCTGGACTTGATCTTTCTAAGATTTCCCAGCCAGCATATCCACACAGAGTTCCTCTGGAGCAGCAAAGCAGAGTTTATAATGGCCTTGCCAGTTTTGAAGCCATAAACCAGGGGTAGGCAACCTTGGCTCTATTATGACTCGTGGACTTCAACTCCCAGAATTCCTGAGCCAGCCATGCTGAGGGGAAAAGGAGAGGTTTCCAAGCTGAGCCATGCTGGCTCAGGAATTCTGGGAGTTGAAGTCCACGAGTCATGAAGGGGCCAAAGTTTCCCTCATGCTGGCTCAGGAATTCTGGGAGTTGAAATCCACGAGTCATGAAAGGGCCAAAGTTTCCCTCATGCTGGCTCAGGAATTTTGGGAGTTGAAGTCCACCAGTCATAAAAGAGCCAAGGTTGCCTACCCCTGCCTTAAACTGATGCTTTCAGAGACCATCAAATTTCTTCTTTCAGAAGTAAGGGGACACAGCAAGTTATTTGAGATCCAGGCCTTTAGAATTGGAAACTCGGTGGTGGCTTGGCATAAATTAGCAAGGGAAATGTTGCTAGAAATAAAATGCAAACATTATTTCCAACTGATGTTACCTTTGAGATGTGCTTGGCTTTGAAACTGGCGGAGTATGTGGCATCACCTTAAAAACAGAGAAGGAAATGGAAAGAAACAAAATGGACGTGCAGCAGACGGGGTTCAAAAATCTGTGTGTGCAGATGCGGGAGATCATTTTCAGCCCGAAGACTTTAATGGCTTATGGCAGAAATCTGAAAAGGGGAAATTGAAAGATAGATTGGTCATTCCCCATCCCATTCCAATGTTCCTTGCTCTGAATTAGACGACCGAAAGTTTGGAAAACTCACACTCCCAAGTTTGATCTTATTTGTGGGATGGTTGTGAAAGGGAACATACGCTGTGAGATCAGTTGGAAGAAAGTCAAGAAATTGTCCCCTCACCTTTTGGTAGACCTGGCTGAGTGCTTTTCTTTCACACCTTTTTATGGAAAGAGGAGAACACCCAAGCAGGGAGATATTAAAGCAAACAAAACTGCATTTCAATATGAGCCCATCTTGACAGTATGATGCTTCTAGCAGTTTAACCAAGATGGGTTTAGAACGCTGGAACACACTAAATATTACAAATTACTGAAAGCGTTATTAGTCATTCTTTTGATTCTTCTTCTGTAGGCAAACAAGAGTAAGGAAATATATGCAAACAACAATGAGAGCAATATAGATCAAAGCAATTACAATGATTATAGTTAGAGATGCTGCTTGAATCATCATGGACAGTACTGTATTTGTTTCCAGTCTTGCAGGAAAGATTCATACTTCAGTTTCAAGCACAAGAGATTGAACTTTGGCTAGGTCTTGGCTTAGCCAAAAAAGGTCTAATCAAATGGATCAAACAAGGACAGATTCTTTTAATAGGACAAATAAGAGCAACTGTCCAGAGTTCTGAAAGTTGGGGTCATCTCTACCAAATCCATTCAGGCAGTACAACTTCATATTTCAGCCGTTAAATTGAGCAAGAAAACCAGAAAAGTAAAGGCATGATTGCTCATAGTTAGTTACAAGGCCTTCCCAGTTATTTAATCAGCCATTGTTTTAAATTGTTCAGAAACCAAGCATCACCACTGTCTCTGGTCTTAGCAGCACCTCAAAAGCGAAAATGATGCTGGCTTGGATTTGTGTATAACTTTCTAACTTTTCTGTCTTAAATGTCAAATAGCTTCTAGGTCAGAAGAGAGGGATTAACCCAGCCCATGATATTTGGGGCAGGTTTGTTGCAAATGAGCTTCTCAGTTATGCATTAAATGCCGCTCCTTGTAAACCTGGCTTTGTCCCTGATTCTACTAACTTCTTTGTAGATCCAAGGCTTGAAGTACATTAAGATTATAATATGATATCTACTCCAGGCATAGGTGACATATGGCTCCTTAGATGCTGAAGTCTAAGTCCAGTTGATACTGTGCAGTGGTGGGAATTGAGGCCCAGCATCTAGAGAGACCCTGATACGTTGCTAACTATAGCCTAGCCCAGGGGTAGGCAACCTTGGCTCTTTTATGACTCGTGGACTTCAACTCCCAGAATTCCTGAGCCAGCCATGCTGAGGGGAAAGGGAGAGGTTTCCAAGCTGAGCCTTGCTGGCTCAGGAATTCTGGGAGTTGAAGTCCATGAGTCATGAAGGGGCCAAAGTTTCCCTCATGCTGGCTCAGGAATTCTGGGAGTTGAAGTCCACGAGTCATAAAAGAGCCAAGGTTGTCTATCCCCTGGCCTAGCCTGTTCTTGCAGTTGGAAAAAGAAATCCTGAGTGCATTGGGTAGATTTATTTATTTATTTATTTGTAATTGCAGCCCTGGATTTTTAACTGATTTGGATTCTTGTCCCTCTCACAGGTTGAGAGAGATTTTGAACGGGAATATGGAAAGCTTCAACAGTAAGTATTCTTAGCCATTTCATTCGGGTGGGTGTTCTTTCTTGGCTCTTTTCTCCTTAACGTTGCTTCCTTCCTTCCATTTATGTTTCTTTTCAGACTGACAGGCTCTCATAGCGGTTTGCAGAATAATAAGAAATTGCCTGTAATCAAAAAAGACATGATAGCAGAAAAAAGGAAACAAGATAACTTAAGCAGCAGTTCTTAATGTTTATTGTTCCTATAAAGGCTAGGTAGGATGGAAATGGGGCTACACAGAGAGAAACCTAGATGACACCTTCGCCTCCAGAGTTGATGATCTTCTCACCAACAATTGTTGGTTTGTTTGTTTTACTTAGTTAGCGACAGGACTTGTGTGGCCGCCTATCTCATACATTGACTCCAGACAGTTCACAAATCCATAAAACATGGTTAAAAACAAAAGTACCCTTCCTCCAGGCACCAGACCAAGCATCCTCACAGCTCAGCCACCATTTTAGCCCAATACTTGGGGAAAGAGCCAGGTATTTACAGCCTTCTGGAAGAGTAAAAAGGTAGAGGTGTTGCTATACTTATTAGTTCCTAAGACGATTTTGCAAAGTACAACATTTCTGCCTTTAATGTCTGTGTCGCTGCTGCTGCTATGATGGGTCTATGACAACTCACCATGGCCAAGTCGCCATGGCCAACTTGCTACAGCCAATTCACCAGGGCCAACTCGCCAGGGCCAACTCGCCAGGGCCAACTCGCCATGGTCAACTTGCCACAGCCAACTCACCATGGCCAACTCACCATGGCCACCTTGCCACGGCCAACTTGCCATGGCCAACTTGCCACGGCCAACTCACCATGGCCAATTTGCCATGGCCAACTTGCCACGGCTAACTCGCTGTGAAACAAGAGTTAAACTAATGTCAAATGAATAGTGAATAATTAAAGAAAGGATGCAGAAGGAGGGACGGAATGAAATGTGAATGGTATGATGTCAGCAGTCTCCAAGACGCAAAGAACATAAGTACTCCTTCTTTCGTCTGTTCTCACCTTATTGACCAGTTTTCCAGCAGTCTGAAGAGAAAAGCTCTAGGAATTCTCTTATTTCTTGATTGTCTGACAAAGTTCCTGCTCCTGGCTTAGTTGGACAGGAACTCTGTGACAGATTCTCTGCTTAGAGGAAGTTTGAGCAATTTCTTTAACTCCTCATTTGGAAAATACTAATGTTTGTTTTACACGCGAGGAGAATGTAGAGAGGTCTCCCAAATCCACGTTGGTTTAATTTAATTAGTTAATTGCACACTAATTAATTCATCTGTTTAATTACATGGTGAACATACAATGAATCCTTTTAGACGGTGTGTAGAAACGAACAGAACCCCGTGTCTTGGCACGAGATGGAAGTTGAGAGTTGCGCAGAAAAAACGTATTTTTGTTAAAACGATGCAGTAATGATAGAAACTTCAACCAATTAGATCATATGCACTTATTTATATGTTCACCTCCTGCATACTGAATTCCATTTGTGCTCTTACCTGATTTCTGTTCTGTAAGCTACTGAAAAGTCTCCTTGGGAACAAGCATTTTGTCTTGCTGCTTTTTCAGTAGTACAGGTGGTCCTCAACTTACAGCCAGTTGCTTAGCGACCTTTCAAAATTACAATGGGGGGAAGGTATTACAACCTGGATTTAAAGTTCTGATGGTCCTGCTTCCACCACCACCACATTTATGGCTGTTTGCAGCATCGCATGACTGTGTTTTTACAACGGATTAGCTGAAAACCAGCACTTACTTCCATTTTGTTTTGTTTTGTTCCAAAACTGGTCCTTCGTAAAGCGGGGCTTTGCTTAGCAACAAAAATTCTGGTCCCATTTATTGAGGACTTCCTGTAATACAAAATTCTGCGCTGGCTTCCAGTAGGCTTCCAAATGCAAGGTGTTGGTTTTGACCTATAAAGTTCTATACGTCAAAGGATGCGTGTAAGCACGTCTTCTCCAGTTTGACATGCTGGCTAACCTGTCCATACTGCTTGGGAGGAGATGCTTCAGGAAAATCCCACAGTTCAGGAACTGGAGGAGGCATCAGCCCCAAAGCAGGGATTCTCTGTGGTTTTAGGCCTTTGCAATGTTGCTCCCATTTTGCATGGTTTTACTCTTTTTAACATTGTAAGTCATCTTGTGGTGACCTGATCGGCAAACAAATTTAATAAATGATAGCTAGCTAGCTAGCCGGATGGATGGATGGATGGATGGATGGATGGATGGATAGGTAGGTAGGTAGGTAGGTAGGTAGGTAGGTAGGTAGGTAGGTAGATAGATAGATAGATAGATAGATAGATAGATAGATAGATAGATAGATAGATAGATAGATAGATAGATAGATGGATGGATGGATTAGATAGATAAGATAAGATAAGATAAGATAAGATAAAGTAGGCAGGCAGACAGACAGACAGACAGATCAAACTTCCCCACCTTAAACGTATGTCAAAATGTGTTGAAAATACGTCTTTTTCTAACTGACCTTTGGAAACCAGTATCTATAGTTTGCTTTTTACAGTTGACAGTGGAACAGTTTTCAGTTTTACTGATAACGTTTAGAATTAGTATGATGCTTAGGGTTTTTTTTCATTATTTTTAGATTTGTAAGCCACCTCGAGATACGTAATTGTGGAGATTGAAATACTATAAATTGAAAAGCAAAGAAGCAAGTAAGCAGGGCCAAGATAAAGCCTGAACTGATTTACATTAACATAATTACTCCCCAGGTATGCAGTGCGTTCCCTCTTCTGGCACATTAAGTCTTACAGTTGCTTTGGGAGTTGTGCGTGATTCTTTGTAAAGCATGTATCAAATAAATCTGCAGAAGCAGGGCATCCGCAGGGAGATCAAAAGACTGCCTGTTTTTACCGTAGTTCATTGCATGTGCAATTCGTGTTAAAAAGGAACAAAGGATACAGCTATGCAATCACGGTCACCATCTGTGCATATACCTCTTCAGAGAAGTAGCCATTTTGATCCAAGTGTGTTAGCCCTCCTGGGCTAAGTGCATGTAGCAGTTCAGTCCTGACAAATGGACGGAAAAGTTAGAAAAAGCAGGATTCTGGCTTACTAATACTTCCACGTCTGACAATCTCCAACGATTCTCCCTAATCACGCTGGTCATGGAACATACGTTCTCTGTGTTTGTTCTCTTTCAGTCTTCTCCATTGACTCCTACAGATCAGAAGCCAAAATCCAGCAACTGTCTTCTCACTTCTCCTCTGTTCCTCCTTTCTTGTCATTTGCAGTTTGTTTTGTGCAGAGAGAGCGAGAGCTTTAATTATATGCATTTTAAAACAAAACTATTTTTCTATTTTTAGGTTGGAAGATCAAACTAAGAAGCTACAAAAAGATATGAAGAAAAGCACAGATGCAGACCTAGGTATGTAAATCTGCTGTACTAAGTGAGATTTGAGCCAGTTTTGATTCCCCTCCCCCCCCCCCAGGCCCTTGTTCTGAAGTGCATATTTAGCCACAGTCCATTAAGCCTCTGTTGAGTTTTTTCACTGACCAAAACGTCCCCTTTTATATATATATAAAAAGTCTTAAACTGTATTTTGCAAACAGATGAGCCCAAAGGAATAGCAAATACTTTCCAACAGCCTGTAAAAAGAAGAATTATCCAAGGAATTCCTGATTAAGGCTGGGTTTAACTTGGTTTGGACACTATGATAAGCGTAGGAAGCAGCGAGTAAACTGGCAGCCATTTCTTTTGTTTGTTCTTTTACTACTGACACAGCTGTTTGCTTCTGAGATTTTGGAGATGAACATCTGGACTCCAGGTGTTGATTTTCTTCTGCCCTTTTGTCCTTTTTTGTGTTGTATTCTGTGGCATTTCCAGTAGGAACCCTGTTGCATACAATCCCATCCCACCAAACATGGCATCTAAGCAAACTAAAAGGAGAGAAATGTAGATAAAGAGCTAATTAAGGGCCCTAATGATGAATAGCTCAGGAACTTTTTACAACTCTTAAGGTCGACAATAGGTATTTTGCTGTAGCCGGAGATTGTAGGAAAAAACCCAAACATTATACTCCTATGTTCCTCTGATCCTAAAAAGTCCTCGGTCTTCTTTGTTCTGGCATTATTTTGAAGACAAAATTAATGCATTACCAGGGCAAAAGCAAGCCAAGAACGAAATGAAATGAAAAGGCCAGAATGAGGGGGAAATGCACATTTTTCTCCTAGAGGAAAAAACAACAACAGGTTTTTGTCATCAGTGAAACCATAAATGTCTTCCCTAAATGAGACAGTGAGAAACAGTTTTAAACTTTTGGGATAGTTCCCTGTTTGCTTCCTAATAAAGGATAATAAAAGGATAAAAACATTTAAATAAATTCAGTTTTCTTTGGTTTTCTTGAAAACCCAAAAGCTTACGAGTCTGATTGTTTATGTAATTTTCTACACAGCAAAATTTGAACTTTCTGGTTCTGAGTTGTAGTTGTAGTAATTCTACTAACCGCAGAGCGACCATCTGCACCATCCTGGCTTTAAACATGAAAAACTGGTTCTCTGCTTTTCCTCATAAATGGAGGTAGCAGTAGCCCCCAAATTAGGAAGGATTTTTTTTTCTTTCTCCTATTTCCTTCCTTCCTTCCTTTATTCCTTCCCTCCTTCCCTCCCTCCCTTGCAGAGAATTCCTTTTCCTTCTTTTTAAGGGGATTGGCCCCAAAGGATTGGTGGGAAGATGCTTCCCCCAGCCTACTCCTTCAGCTCTGAAGCATCATCACAAGTTTACCTATTTTACGACCTCAAAGCCACACCTTATTTTGCATTTAAAGAGGTACCATCCTGCTCTCTGGAGCTGGGGCAATCATCTTCTGTTCGGTTTCCAGAAACTGGAAACCCTCAAATCTGATGAAAAGGGGTTAGACGACAAATGCATCCAAGCCCCTCCTCCCTTACAAATAATAGAGAGATGTACCAATGTAAGGTGCTCATCTGCCTGTCGTGGTTCCGACAACATCAGAACATCTGCTAACATCGGATGTTCTTGCCTTGACGCTGCCTTTGCCAGAGCCAAGAATTGTGACAGAGATTCCATTCTGTTGTCTCTTCCCTACTCTTTCTACTAGTGTCATCCATTTCCTAAAGTCATCGGTGATGGAAGACTGATCATTTGATAGAACATAGAATAATAGAATAATGGAGTTGGAAAGGATCTTGGAGGTCTTCTAGTCTAACCCCCTGCTCAAGCAGGAGAGCCTATACCAGGGGTAGGCAACCTTAGCCCTTTTATCACTCGTGGACTTCAACTCCCAGAATTCCTGAGCCAGCCACGCTGAGGGGAAAGAGAGAGGTTTCCAAGCTAAGCCATGCTGGCTCAGGAATTCTGGGAGTTGAAGTCCACGAGTCATAAAAGAGCCAAGGTTGAATTCCCCCTGCCCTATACCATTTCAAATAAATGGTTGTCCAGTCTCTTTTTTTAAAGCCTCCAGTGATGGAGCATCCACAACCTCTGAAGGCAAAGCTATTCCATTAGTTCACTGTCAGGAAATTTCTCCTTAGTTTTAGGTTGCTTTCTCTGCTTGGTTAGTTTCCAACCATTGTTTCCTGTCTCGCCTTTTGGTGCTTTGGAAAATAATTTGACCCCCTCATCTTTGTAGGGTCACTGCTGGTTCAAATCTCTTGCTCCTGCTGCTATCAGCAAATAAGTAGCGGTAGCCCTTGTTCAGCAGCATTGCTACATGAATCTGAGAAATAAATCCCTTAATTTCTGAAGCGTGTATCTCAAAATGACTGCAAAATATTATCCATTGAAGGCAAAGTAGTGAGAGTCCTGCCAGCCATCCCTTCTATCCCCCTGAGAATGTTCTCCCTGTCACTTCATCCTACATTTCCCCCCCCCCCTTTTTTTCTGGATAGGTGGACACATCTGTACAGAGAACACTGTGTTATAGCGAACTTTTGCATTTGTTTCTTGGAACGTCAATAGAGCTAACTCAAGCTCAAAAGTGCATTGGGACAGAGGTCTTGCATACCGACATCCCATTAATTTTAAGACATAAAACTTATCTTTAAAAAGTCTAAAGGGGCAGGGACCCAAGGGCACCCAGAAAGGTGCATGAGTACACATTTATGCCATAGCACCTGTGAGATTTGAACCCATATTCAGTTAAAATTCATTGGTGCTCCTTGGTCCAAGCCTGGTTCTGGAAAAGGATGCTCCTGTGCTTTGAGTCTGAGACTGTCCCCAGGACAAAATGTTCTAAAATGTGGTTATAACACCTTAGCAGCCTAATGTTTTCCTGTATATAAATCTCACTGCATTTGTTGGGGTTTACACCTTGCTAACTTTGCTTTGCCTTTATTATCTTGTCACAGCTGCCAGAGGATTTGATTTTTTTTTTTTTTTTGTAAAACTACTGAAAGCTGCGAAAGCTTAATCGGTTGCGATTTGTTAGGTTTGAAAGCACACTGTGGTGAGACCAAGCAGCCCTTAACAGCGCTGGGAAAAGGCTGCCCGTGTTTGTCTAGCCACTTCTGTGTCTGCTTTAAAAGGAGCCTTAACTCGTGCACTTTGATAAATGGTGCATGTAAATAGTGTGGACTTGATTACACATGAGTGTTTATCCCGATGTTTACACAAATTCATTAATAGCTCTTCTTCCAAACCACCAGTTAGCGTTCCTGGATGTTTTCCCATTAGCATTTGATGCACTCTGGAGTGTGTCTCCTCTTTATGTTTCAGCTTATTGTGTAGACGGGAGACAATGAATGGATTCCTGAAAAGCTGGATTATGAATCATTTGACCTATCACCAGATGAACTGAAGAAACTAGCTTAAGAAAAGTAAAAATTGGTTTCTAAGCATTAGGACGGCTGGCTCTTGGCAAAGAATAATTTCAGACCCATATTTTTGCATTAGGAAAATGGAAGTATAATGGACTGACTGCAAGGGTGAATGGATACTTCACTTTTTACGAGGAGAAGGACTGTGTGGGCATGTCTACCTCGCTCTAGGTAGAGCCTTATACGAATAACAGTAAAATAATGGATACAATGCCAGTTACGCAGAACTGTATTTTAGCCTGATGGGAAACGGTTACCATGAATTTGGGGCTCAGACTCTTCTTTCTACTTTCTATATACTAAGGCTTGCCAAGTCTGAGTTTCAAAAATGAGACAGCCAGTAGATGGCAGCGAAAAGACACTATGCTAACTCTTTGCTGCCCCCTGGCAGTAGTGCTAATTTTTGTAATCATGATCTCATAATATTTTTCGATGGAATTGTAGGATGATACAGTATTTAGAACCACAGGAAACACACTTAACACAGAGCTGGGAAATACGTTTTTCCTGACAGGTGGAGTTCTGGATCTCCACCATCTTCCTTTCTCTTGTTCTCTTTAGAATGGACTAAGCCAGGGGTAGGCAACCTTGGCTCTTTTATGACTCGTGAACTTCAACTCCCAGAATTCCTGAGCCAGCCATGCTGGACTAAGCCAATACAGCTCTGTGTTAACTGTGCTTCCTGCCTACCCAAAAAAAATCCCCTTACCCATTGCCTATCTCTTAATAGCATCGATCCTTCATTAATTTCTCTCTGAATTCTGTCCCAAATATAGCCATGTCAAAGTCTGCGGTAAAAATCTCATCTGATCTCTTGGCCAATCCTCTCTGTGAACAAGACCCTAAATTCCTTGAAATGGTGATGGCTCTGGACACAGCAATGAAAAGAATGGATTCTTTTAACCAAGAGAAGGTAAAATGTGCCCTGGATCTATTCCTAAGGAGGGAAGGAAAAGTTCTCCAACTTCGACATCCTTAATTGTGAAGTTTTCCTTGATTGCTCCACAGTTCTTGTCAAGACTGCATTACTGAGGATGTGCAAAGGGGTACAAATATTCATGGCTGGTATTGTACAGTACCAGCAACTACACCAGAGCAGAGCTGTGTACGTATCTCTCAGGATTTTAAAAATCACTTAAAGTTATTACGGAGTGAAATTTGAAATAATGACAAAGAACAAAATAGGCAATTAATACTTAACAATTTGAGATTTAAAATAGTAATTGCCATAGAACAGTAATTCTCAATCTGTGCTTCTCGGGCTGGGATTTGCAGCCAGGTGAATTTGCACAATTATTACATGTAAATCAGAACTTCCTGAATTTAATAGCATTGAAATAATTATTTTGGCTTATCTCTTGTGGGTGGCACAAGCTATATGAATCCAACTTCTGTCGGTGTTCACTGAGTTTGGTTGTTTTCTTGCACGGCTGATGTCATCTAGCCTGGTATCGAAATATCTGCAAGAAAACAATCAAGCTGAGAGAGTAGTAGCAATGGTTCAGCCCCGAACCTCATATGTTCTCTATTGTTGGTATTCAACTTTTGTCTTGTGTGCTTACTCATAATGGCTTTTTATAGGTTCTTGTTTGTTTTTTAAAAATAATTTCATTAAGGGTTTTAAAAACAAGGATAAAAACAAATACTAATGTAAAGTAAGAAGACGAAAAAAGATCAAAGAGAAAGCTAAAAGCACAAGAAAGAAAGAAAAAAAGAAGAACAAGAGAAAAAAATTCAAACAAGTGGCTTCTGCTCTCCTTTGTAGCAACTACCGGTATATAAGTATAAACATACCTCTTACTCTAATCTTGCAACGGGACTCTCTTCTGTCTAGTATCTATCCGGTCCAGTCATCAAATCCATAAATCCTTGAGTTAATTTTGTTCTGTTGTACACAAAATGTACATAAAAGGTTTCCAGTCAGCAATAAATATAGATATTGTACTTTCTCTAATCAATGATGTCTCAGCCAATTTCATCTTTTCCACCAACCATTCCGCCATTGTAGATGTTGCTTTATCTTTCCATCTTTGTGCACACAGTACTTTCACAGCAGTTATCGTATACAAAAACAAACTTCCACAACTCTTTTTCCCAACTATTTGTCCATCATTCTGGCTCTTTATATTTTGCACTATTTTAAGATTTTATGTTATATTATCAAACACATTTCCGTAATAACAATCTCATATTATGAGCACCAAATATAATGAACACTGACAGAACTGGAGCAAGAGTAGATCCATTAAGAACTGAGAGAGAAACACCAGCATATTTAGAGGAACCTTTACATGTAGCTAAATTGTTTTTGTAAAAATCCCAACGACTAAAAGAAACAAAATTCTGATGAAGATTTAATACGCTCGGTAGCCACAGAATATTTAATTTAGCTAAAAATGAGAACATGGAAAGGAAACCGAAGTGGAAAAGAATATACTTGGAAAACTTGGAGTTGGGCATGAAGTTCCATTGGTTCAAATCAGTGTTACTCAATCTTGGCAACTTGAAGATGTCTGGATTTCAACTCCCAGAATTCCCCAGCCATCCAGCTCAGCTCAGATGGCTGGGGAGTCAAAGTCCATCTTCAAGTTGCCACGTTTGAGAAACTCTGGTTCAAATGATCTCCCTTGTTGATTCTTAAAGAATATTTCTTCTTGTTGTTCTTCTAACAGGTGAATCAAATCCAAAAAACAGTCATTGAACCTCTGAAAAAGTAAGTAGTGATGTTTCCATATAAGCAACAATCTTTTTGCAATCTTTACAAATGAACATGATTTAACATGGGAACCAGAAACATGCTTTCCCTCAAGGCTCATTGGGTGAAACCTACAGCTTGTGAAATTCTGCAAATCCCAACTTGTGTTTAGAAAAACAACAAACCTGGAATTTCTAGCCTTCATTTTAGAGACACTATGCAAGCAAAATAGAATAAAAAATTAAGAGTAAGTGTACATAAAAAAAAACCACCCACAAGATATTACAACTCTTTTGCTCATTTGCTGATAGATTAAAACCTCTTCCCTTATTATCTATTTAGCACATGGCATACAATGTCAGAGAAATCTGCACAGGCTAGCCCAGAGGTAGGCAACCTTGGCTCTTTTATGACTTGTGAACTTCAACTCCCAGAATTCCTGAGCCAGCCACACTGACGGGAAAGGAAGAAGTTTCCAAGCTGAGCCACGCTGGCTCAGGAATTCTGGGAGTTGAAGTCTACGAGTCATGAAGGGGCCAAAGTTCCCCCATGCTGGCTCAGGAATTCTGGGAGTTGAAGTCCACGAGTCATGAAGGGGCCAAAGTTTCCCTCATGCTGGCTCAGGAATTCTGGGAGTTGAGGTCCACAAGTCATAAAAGAGCCAAGGTTGCCTACCCCTGCCTTAAGCTATTCCAAAAAGGGATTGAATATAATGTTTTCTAAATGAAAGATGTAGTCGGTTTCACGTAATGAAAGCACATTTTTGTTAAAGGATTGAGTAAGTTTGAACAGATTTTGAAACTCGGTACACAGTTCATTCCCCTGCAAGCCATCCAAAGATCTCTTATTATTTGTCAGGCTTAAAATGAAATCAGTCATTCAATCTGTATCTGCATGAGGTTTCTTGGGTAGATGGTCCCATCTTTGGGGCTGGGGGTGGGGCAATCTAATTGCAAGAAATTTATCAGCTTCCTGTTAGGAATAGCAGCCTTCTTCCTGAAACTGGAAAAAAGTAAAAAATACTCTGTTTAAAAGTATATTTTAGCTAGGACAGTGATGGCGAACCTTTTAGAGACCAAGTGCCCAAAAACTGCCCCCGCTCTACCTCCTGCCCTGCTTGCTTCGGCCCTGCCTGCCCCCTGCCCCACCCACCCGTAGGGCTACGGACTGCCTCTGTGGCCCACTGCAGCATATCGCCCAGGCAGCCCTGCAGCACCATGGAAGCCATGCCCTCCGCCCACACCCCACAGCATCATCTGCATGCTATGGGGCATGATGGTCGAGTCTTTTCCTGCTATCTGGCTACGTCCTTAGCTGTGCTGCTCTGTGCAGGCTGTGCCCGGGGGCGACTCTCCTCCAGGGGGCTGCTGGTGAGGAGGGGGCCGTGGGCGGAGGCGGGGCTGGGGCAACGGCGCGTGTGCCCACAGAGAGGGCTCCGAGTGCCGCCTCTGGCACATGTGCCATAAGTTCGCCACCACTGAGCTAGGATATATTCAGATATGTAGGGGTTTTTTTTATTACCGCAAGCCTGTGAGCTTCTTTTCCATGTTTTTTTTTAATGCCATTAGCATTTGCTTGAGCTATAAGCAAGCATCTGAGGTTCTTTATACAGAACTTCTCTTACTACAATCAAATGATTGCAGAAATTTTTAGATTCGCTTTTTTATTACAAGGAAGTTTTGTGAGCGAGAACAAAATGACTTTAATAAGACAGCAAGTGAGGCAAATTGCTCAATAACACCTTTTGTTTCACTTGACATTTTTTTCCTGCCTCTAAATTAAAGTAACATAGTCTAAGTAGTTAGGAATGGATCAGGAGCAAAGTGGTTGAAGGTGGTCTGGAATTTTGTAGGGGTTTGTTTTTGTATCATCTTCCTCTTCCTCCTCCTCCTCCTCCTCCTCCTCCTCCTCCTCCTCCTCCTCCTCCAACCTCTTGGTTGAAACCATAGGCAGGTTTAGAAGCTTGCTAAACAGAATTTACAGAAAGCTCCAGCGTTCACAAGAGGACTTGTGTCTGGCTTCTTGTCTGCCCCTTAATAGCCGCAAAGTGTCTTCTTCTTTGATTCTCTGGTGGTCTTCTTCAAGCTAATGTCCTTCAAATATGATGGGATTGCAATTTCTAGGTAACATAATCATGGTGGGTTAGGAATTTGGAGAGCATCTTGTCCCCAACGCCATATTTTAACGTGCTGTCAGTTTGAATATTTGATTCGTATGGGACGGCATTAAAACCAATGGCTGCATAAGTTGTAACATAGAAAAATTGAGTACTGAATATGTATTTTTATTTGGGGGTTTTAGAGTAAAGGGAAACTCTTGTCTACATTTGTCCAAAAGCCCATTATATGACCTGGAAAGGCAGGTACAAATGAAAAGGAATGGTTTGTAAAGCACATCTGGATGAGGAAACTGTAGCTTGCTGAGAACCATCCTGCAGATATAGCCAAGGTTCCTGGTGATCTCTGATCTAGGAAACATTTTTATCTGGTTGTGTGAAAAGATAAGAGTCTGTAAGATCTCTGAAGGGACACTTATACAGCTTCCTATGGCTTTCCTTATTGATTAGGACATATGATTGCTCACTGAAAGTAATTTCTGATTAAGAAAAAGACATCACACACACCCCAAAAATGACAGCCCCACTGTAAACGGACTGCATAGGAAACACATATATTATATTTTTGTAACATCTGTCTTCTGTTTAAAATCAGCACATTTTGTCTCTGCCCATACATATCCTCTATGTGTGGATACAGTAAAGAATGACACATGTGCCTATGAGAGGTAAATTCTAACTGGATGTGCTAATTGCTGAGTTTTATGACGATGGGCCACCTAGCCAGAATGCTGGCTTGGCTTTTCTACCACTTCCCTGCCCTGGTTTTTTGGGAGGTCTATAAATCCTAGAAGTTTGCGAATCTGAAACCTAATTCCCTTTGTTTATCTCCAGAGTCCTCCTTCCTTCCTTCCTTCCTTCCTTCCTTCCTTCCTTCCTTCCTTCCTTCCTTCCTTCCTTCCTTCGTATCTTTGGTGATTTTTCCTCTTTCAGTTCTCATGTTCAGCTCCATCCAGTCTCCCGGATTCTACCCAAAATTAAGAGATTACAGAGTCATAAAAAGGGAGAATTCTCATGTTTCTCTTTGCTTTGTGATCTTGCATGGGGGGGGTGGCAGACAGGATGGCCATGAGTTTGCATTTGGGTTGACTGCTTGTTGCATCAATGGATCATGAAAGAGGAGGGGGGAGGCTAAAGAGTATAATCATATTAGCACCCATTTTGAAAAAAAAAGCTGCCAAGCTATTTATCTGTAGTTCTTCCACCCAACACCAGATAGGTCAGAAATGAATGAGAATGACCTTTTTTTCCCCCTCTTTGTTTTTTTTTTTTTTTTTTTTAAATTAGGCATTGCTTTCCCCAAAGGGGCTTCCCCTCCCAAGCCTCACCCAGGCTTCCCTTGGCCAAGACAAGATTTTTAATTTCAACAGCTGCATTTCATTACTCCCCTTCAGTGGTGGTCCATAGAATTTATTAGGGTTTTTTTGTTTTGTTTTTTTAAAGATCAATGCAATTTGGGCCATTATCATTAGTGGCAATGCAGCCTAACCAGAATCAGATGCAGAATCAGATTCTCTCTGCTCTGGTGCAGCACTCAAAGCTCCAGGAGGTACTTGACCCGTCTGGAGAGCAACACGGCTTTTGCTGAAAAGCCACAACAGTTGACAGGCAAGCCCCAGGTTCTCTACCCGTGATCAGAGACCGTTCTTACTCATTTAAGTTTGTAAGTGAGAATGTTCTCTTCTCCGCCCTGTAGGCTGAGCAAAAGAGAGCTGAGGGAGGTTGAAAATCGTCCCAGCTGATTCGGTCTACTTGAATCTAAAGTCAGCTACATGTTGGTTTATGTCAGGGCTCCTCCAACATGGCCCCTTTAAGACTTGTGGACTTCAACTCCCAGAATTCCCCAGCCAGCCATGCTGGCTGGGGAATTCTGGGAGTTGAAGTCCACAAGTCTTAAAGGGGCCACGTTTGAGGAGCCCTGGTTTATACTGCAATTTTAAGCCCCTCCATTCTCCCAAGATGGATAGTGCGGCCACCAGGTTTACAAGTGAGCCACCCTCTGATCCTGTGGACAGCACATTACCGACAGGTGGTCCCCGACTTACAACAGCTGATTTAGTGACTGTTAATGTCGCTGAAAAAGGTAACTTACATTGTTTTTCACACTTCGCCTTTTGACAAGCAAACTCCACGGGGAAGCCAGATTCTCTACAGCAGTGGTTCTCAACCTGTGGGTCAGGACCCCATTTGGGGTCGAACGACCATTTCACGGGGGTCGCCAAACAACGCAGTCCGCCATTTTTTCCCCCTTTTCCTTAGTTGTGCTACTCCCTTTTATTCTATTGGCTTTTGAAAGCCAATAGAATAGACTCTCTTGAATAGAATCTAATTCTATTGGCTTTCAAAAGCCAGTAGAAATTGTCCAGGCTGTCTCTGCCCTGCTGAGCCCGCCAAAAGTCCCATTCTGCAAACGGTGCTGCACCAGTTGAGTAGTCCTCGACTTACGACCAGTTAAGTAGTCCTCGACTTACGACCGGTTAGGGGTCGCAGCATTAAAAAGGTTGCGAACCACTGCTCTATAGTGATTCATTTAACAATTGTTCGTAAAAAGGGGCAAAACTCACTTAACAGTTGTCTCAGCGACAGAAATGTTGGGCTCAATTGCGGCCAGTGCAGCTTTCTCTGTGGCCTCACAAAGAATTCCAAGAGGTGAAGTTTAACAGATTTGAACTGCCAAGTGGGAGGCTGTTGTATAATCTTTTTGCTGTGCTGTGCCTTTGCTAGAAATCTTGAGCCTGTCTATTAAAATACAAGCCTCCTTTTTCCTTGGACTCTCTCAGAAGCTATCACTTTTCCATTCTGCTACATTTTTATTTTTCTTTTTTTAAAAAATATGTTTATTGATTTTTAACATGCACCTTAATATTTGGCAAACATTGTGTTGTCTGGGTTAATGTTTAGA